TTGCAGTTACTGCTATTGTCCCAGGTACCAACCTATTCTGTACCTGTGCATTTGGTTTTTCTTGCCTGAATGTAATTCCTGCTTGGATGGGCGGGGTGGGGGTGGGGGCTGGACTAGATGGCCTCTAAGGTCCCTTCCAACTCTGTTTATTCTGTATTAACTCCCAGTCGAGATTGATTCTCGAGTCTCCGGAGTCTCCTTTGGCAGCCTGAAAACAGGAGATTTCCAAAATTTGGAGGTTTTGTTTGCAAATCGTTGCAGTAGAGTTTGGGAATTGCAAACCGGGTAGGTTTTTTTTTGTTTTTTTTACTCTGTTGGCCATCGGCCACGATGGTGGGACCAAAAAAAGTGAAGGTTTGCACAAACATAGCGATCCCACATCAAAGGCCCCTGTAATTTGGTAGCTGAAGAAATCCCGCCATTGTTTAAAGCCAGGAATTAATTGCAGAGTTGGAACAAAGCGGAAATTTGCAAGCGTAAGAATAACTGGGGTGTGAATTCTGCTTCAGCCGAAAAGAAGCGAATGGAATCGTTGGTTGTCTAAACAGAGGCACAGAATCAAAACAACGTGCAATATTAGTACCGCTTGGTAAAGCCTCAGTAAGGCCACGCCTGGAATATTACATCCGGTTTGGGTCACCGCGTTACAAAAAAGATGTCGAGACTTTGGAAAAAGTGCAAAGAAGAACAACCAAGATGATCAAAGGCTATGAAGCATTTAAGGAATGCACTAATTCCCCCGCTCCCTTTCTGCTGTCAATTCTAAAAGACCAGAGAAATCTTTTTGAGTTGACACCGGCACTGCCTGGGTGTAGCCGACTCTGAGACACATCATTCACTGTCACCCTTGACCCTGGATTTCCCTCCACCCCCCCCCCCGGGTGTATCATAATTCATATTCTCCAATGGGACACCTCCATAGCCCAGAGTCATCAATCATGTTCTCCAGTTAGAATTTTGTGTGGCAGAAACTTCAGTCACCTCGAAACTATCTTTGAAAACATTTATGGAATGCACTTTCGGTTTGCAAGCAGCTGCACTGCTCCCCCCTCCCTTTCTGTTGGCAACTCTAAGAAGACCATAGAAATATTTTATTGAGTTGACACTAGGATTGTTTTGGCCTTTTTGGCAGCTGCCGCACATGGCTGGGTTGTATTTAAATGAATTGTCCACTAAGAATAGAATAGAATAGAATAGAATAGAATAGAATAGAATAGAATAGAAT